CCAGTGATCTCACCAAATTCGAGTAAGCTAAACCTGATAGGTTCATCACCAACTAGACTCCAAATCTCCTTCAAGTATACTCGAAGCTGTCGACATAGTAGATAGTGGACAGTCCTACCAGACCACACGCTTTTGCGTTCAGCTAGCTTCACAATAATTCCAAGAGGACCCTGCCTCATGTGATCCCACACATCCCGTCATATTGCTTCTCTAACGTTAGGGAAATCTCCCATCTGCAAATTGTGATTAATCTCTTTATTTTCTAGATTAGAAGCCCCTTCAGCGTAAAGTCGTGGAGGATAATCCCGTGCTTGATCTTCAGAAATAGCCATCTGATCCTAAAACACATATATAGATAAATCAGCTGCGATAGAAACAAAACTCAGCAACAACATAATAAATAACCCAGCCACCATAGCAATAACTCAGCCAAAACATAATCAATAACTCAGCCAAATCATAAATAATAAATAACTCAGCCACAACATAATGTATAACTCACCTACAGTAATCAATAACTCAGCAAAAACATAATCAATAACTCAGTCGGATCATAATCAATAACTCAGCCACTTCATAAATCAAACTCAACTCAGCCACACTATACAATAACTCAGTAACAACATAATCTATAACTCAGACATGACGTAAATCAAACTCAGACACAACATACCAGAGAAGATGAGAAGATGATGTCGTAGATTCGATTACGTCGAAAGTTTTGCGGAGAAGAGGATGTCGACGAAGATGATATCGGAGACGGTTAGGGTTTAACGAGGTCGACGAAGATGATTTAAGATATCGGAAACACTGTTTGAAACGAGAGTATTAGTTGTGACGGAGATGATTTCGGGATTTCGGGATTTCGTAATCGGTTAGGGTTTAACGATAGTTGTGACGGAGAAGAATGTAACATTANACACAAATTAGTTAGTGACGTGGATTGTCAAATTATGATGTGGATTTAATAATTAAAATTTGTATCAATAGTAACAAAATTAAACAAGGGTGTTTATTGTAATTTACTAGGAGTCTAAAAACATTCTAGTAATTTTTAGAAAATATATACTATTCTAGTCATATACAAGGTTTTGTGTATCATTCTAGTAATTTTCTCTAACGATTATGCATTCTCATTGCATTACATAAGCAAGGTTGACCTTGATACAATCAATTCAAGCAATAACTAGAAGATTATATATGTAATCAAGACTCAAATCAAGCATTAAAAAGAAAAGTAAGTATACAATCCAGATTCATGTACTAATAAGTTGCCATTAGAAAAAGAAGAGCCCTTAGAAGGAGGTAAGTGGGACGCACAACTAAAGGAGGTTTATATAACTCAATAATCATCCAAACAAATATACCCATGTGCTTCCCTTCAAACATTCTTCTTGTCATTTTCCTCCCAACCATCTTCTATTTGGCCAACTTTTACTGCTTTTAAAAAGAAATTCAAATATGTGAATCTCCACTCACACATAACACATTCTCTTTTTACAATCCTTAGATTGTCCCTTTTGCCTTCTTCCTCTTGTTCTATTCCAGCTTTACTCATTATTCTCTTCTTTTCAGAATTTCATCGAACTACTCATCAACCCTATATAAATTTTATTTATTTATAATATTCTCATGCAGATTAAATAATAAGAAATATCGACCTTTTTCCTCCATATATAAATAGACACAACGCACGTAACATGGCCCCAAACCGTATAGCAACACACTCTCCACGACTCATATCATACCATTGTTATTACTTTGTACGTCATGAGTTCAATGGCAAGAGATCGAAATGAACAAATAGTAATCCAGTCTTCTATCGCCTTGCTTCAAGAAAGATTCAGACAACTTCATAAAGCACGAGAGCTAAGAGCTGAGCGAGAACTCCTTACCCCTAGACCTAACCACCTAGACACCAAGATCTTACAATATTACAGCGAACCCGCGAGCTTTGGTTTCTTCCAGTTTCTACCTCTAAACTCTCAAACAGCCTCGTCGCAGAAGCTCCTTTCCCTCTCCTTATGCCCTCAATCCACCTCTAATCCCATTGAAAAGCCTAGCTTTTGTCATGACTGGCCAAATAAAGAAGACAAGAAGGTGGTTGGGATTGATCGATACGACGACGTTGATACGTCTCTGCGTCTCTGAAATAATAAATAGCTCATCCATCTATTTGTCTTTTAATTTATATATGTATGTATAAGTATAACCTTTTATTTTTTGTCGGTATGCTCTTTTAAGGAGTCTTGTAGGTGGTAATGATATGTATGGTTCAACTGCGATCATATATAATATCAATCATTTCGAAGCTCTATCTTATATCACGATGATAGTAAACGATCTATGTTCAGAGTTATTAATTAACGATCTACTTAATTATAAGATATATGTACGTATCCCATGTAAGTTGTAATGATATGTATTGTTCAAATGCGATTTTGCGATCCCATATATAGGGAGTAATAATCATCGCTAATTAAGCTATATTTTATATTACGAAGATACTTAACTATACTCATTGAGTTATATTCATCGTATACTTCCAAATTCGAATATATACAAGTTATAACTTAAGACTTAAGTTCTGCCAAAAAAAAAACATCGCAAAGAAATATACATGTACTTGAAATCGATTTATGTTGGTCTTCACTTGCACTAGTTCACACCTTGCTTTTTATTTTCAAGAAAAATTATTTATTTACTTTTTAAAATAACGAATTTCTCATACAAGTCATGACAAAAAACAATTGTCAATCGCAATCAAACTTATTTGCATGCAACTGAGCCAGTACACTTGAACTCTTATACTTGTCAGTACTAATAAGAGACAGCTAGAAACTAAAGTGCCATTCAATCATAACTAGTTTTGTACAAAATATATCAACCATGGAAAAAGAAAAAAACACAATACATTATTATGTATTAGTCGATTATAATCACACAGCTAATTAGTTTGGTGTTATGGGATCTTATATGTAAAAATCATGTTTCAAAAAAGATTAAAGGTAGGTGTAATCGCTGGTTCCAAGTGACAATTAACAAAATACTTCTGCTAGTTTCCTTAAATGAGCCTATTCGGATTTATGGAGAGATCAAATTAGCTAACTTCTGCATAGTGGTTGAGGTAAGAAACCGAGTTATAAAACAAAGTAACTTATTACTAGCTTCCTTTAGATGGGCCTTTTCTGATCCATGAAGAGAGATTGAAGAGCCCAACAAAGACGTTTCTGATCCGAAGAGCCTCTCGATGAAACAGAGTCTCCCACCTGCTTCTGTTGCAATTGAATAACCTAAGAAGAAAGATAGATTCAGAGTTGAGAATCGTAGATCGATTGAAGATGAACACAGACATAACTGCCTTGGAGAAGCCCCAATACCCAGTCGTAGATCGGAATCCTCCATTCACAAAAGTCGTCGGAAACTTCAGCGTCCTCGATTACCTCCGTTTCTCCACCATCACCGGCGTTTCCGTCACCGTCGGCTACCTATCAGGTCTCTTTCTCTCTATCTTGTTTAATCAATCAATCTGTTGGAGTGTGTCCTGATCCGTGTTTTGGATGTGTGTGTAGGGATCAAGCCTGGAATCAAAGGACCGTCGATGGTAACGGGAGGGCTGATCGGACTCATGGGTGGATTCATGTACGCTTACCAGAACTCTGCGGGTCGACTCATGGGGTTTTTCCCCAACGAAGGCGAGGTCGCTAGTCACCAGAAGCGTCGTGGCTCCTTCAATTGAATCTTGGGTTTTCCTTCATCCTTTAAAAAAAAAAACTATCTTTTTCTTGTAATTGGATTCAGTTGAGGATACGTTTGCCTCTGTTTGTCTGTTAGGATAGACTTTTGGTTAATAAAAACTTGAGCTTGCTCGAAAATGTGTGAACGGTTTATGTTATTGCTATGTTGCTTTGAGGATTCTTTACTGCTGCAGTGAGACTATGTCAGTATGTTCTCTATGTAGCATGGGCTTGATGATGAACAAGTAGCAGATTAATCTGGAAATTTCAGTCTCTGCCTTGGTTTGAAATCATTTTTGTGTTTTGCGGGTAAGCTAGCTTTCGGCATCTCTGTTTGACATTTAGATGCGAATTCACTTGCTGTATTGGGGTAGTTAGTTGTTGTTTTTGATGAAAATAGTTACCTTTATTAGGATTGGCATTCTATCTAGGGTTTAAAAAGAGTCTTTGATGCACCCAAGATAGCTTCTTCACATGTGGTTTGTTTGGATTTGGTTTAGTTGTTGTGCAGCAGGATGTATTCAACTAGTGATATGTGTCCGAGAACTTTCTATGGATAAACAGAACCTTTTCTTCCTTCACTTCTTCCCTCCATCTCCTAGTGTTTGGATTCTTATTTATTCTCATGACCTTGTCCCTTTTCTTCATCTTTCTACTCAACAAAGTGACTAGTGACTATCATCAGTTTTTCTGAAACACCATGTGCTATTTGCTCAAATGTTAATACTATTCCGGATGTTTATGGTTTTGGATTTCAGTGCGGGTTCTGCGGTGTGCATGCATACATTTCTAGTGAAATGAAAGTAGGGTTGGCTGCCTAAACCCACCTGCAGACTTACCCACCCTATCTATTCCCCCCCATACTTCTTAGCTCTTGAAAAACCCACCCAGATTGTTGAAATCTCTTCATATCTCCCCCTAAGCTTTTTTAAACCCCCTCTCTAATCAATTTCGAAATCAAAATTAAAGATAAACTAATTGCGTTTTGGAATTGCGATTGCCCAATAAACAGATCGGAGAAATATAAAAAAACCCGACCAGAATTAATTAAAAAAAAACGAATTGGGGATCAATTAAAATTAAGTTTTTCACGTCTATGTTTCACGACACAAACAAAGAAACAGAAAAAGAGTTGCTCATGATCGATGGATTCGTCTCTCTGTTTCTTGTCGTTCTCTCTCTCTCTCTCTGTTCCTTGTCGTTATTTCTCTCTCTCTGTTCCTTGTCGTTCTCTCTCTCTCTCTCTGTTCCTTGTCGTTCTCTCTCTCTCTCTCTCTCTCTGTTCCTTGTCGTTCTCTCTCTCTCTCTGTTCCTTGTCGTTCTCGTTCTCTCTCTCTCTCTCTGTTCCTTCTCTCTCTCTGTTCCCCCTCTCTCTCTCTCTCTCTCTCTCTCTCTCTCTCTCTCTCTCTCTCTCTCTCTTCATCGTCGTGTCTCTCTGTTTCGTCGTCGTCTGTGTTTCTTTGTTTGTGTCGTGAAACAGAGACGTGGAAAACTTAATTTTAATTGATCCCAATTCGTTTTTTTTTTATTAACTCTGGTCGGGTTTTTTATTTTATTTCTCGAATCGGTTTATTGGGCAATCGCAATTCCAAAACGCAATTAGTTTATCTTTAATTTTGATTTTGAAATTGATTAAAGAGGGGGTTTAAAAAAGCTTAGGGGGAGATATGAAGAGATTTCAACAATCTGGGTGGGTTTTTCAAGAGCTAAGAAGTATGGGGGGGAATAGATAGGGTGGGTAAGTCTGCAGGTGGGTTTAGGCAGCCAACCCATGAAAGTACATGAAGTTAAGTGATAGTACCACCACATTATGTCATAACTTGTTATTGAAAAAAGCTGATAATCATAAAGCCTATGACATATATGTCCAATAGTAGCTGTATATATGAAAACTAATCTATACTAAAATATCTAAAACCATTAATTAAAATCATAAGTTATTCAAAAAGCTGATAATCATAAAGCCTATGACATGTCCAATAGTAGCTGTATATATGAAAACTAATCTATACTAAAATATCTAAAACCATTAATTAAAATCAGTAAAACTCAAATCTATACTATTATCTAAGAAGTAAATTTGTTTAGTTGTCATGTTCTCCATAAGTTTAGATAATTATGTTTATTTATCATATTTTTAATATTTATATATTTTTATTTATAAATAAAACGAATTTATATAAATATATCATATTTTTAGAAAATAAGATAATTCTTATCATATTTTTAGTAAATAAGATAATTCTTGTAAATTATGTGGTTATCTTGAAATATATTTTTATATACAAAAGTTAAATTTTAAATTAAGATATAAAAACTATTATATTTATCTAAAACGAATTTATATTAATAATTTAATATTTAAATATAACGAAAATGAATTTATATTAATAATTTAATATTTTTCGAAAATAAGATAATTATTATGTATTATGTTGTTATGTTGAAAATATATTTTCCTATTACAAAATTTAACCTTAAGATATAAAAATTATATTACTAATAATTAAATATAAATAATAATGAATATAAATAATAATTAAATATAAATAATAATTAAATATAAATCATCAAAACAATTATTTGAAAAGTGAATTTGTTGATTTGTCTCTATGATCCTAGGTAATTTTGATCATTTATCAGAATTTCTATAATTTTGTTTATTATTGATTATATAATAAAAACTAATTTATATTAATAATATGATGTTTTAGAAAATAAATTAACTTATGTATTATGTTGTTATCTTGACAATATATTTTCTATTATAAAATTTAAAATTAACATGTAAAAAAGCTATACTATTATTTAAGAAGTGAATTTGATGTTTGCTAATTTGTCATATTTTCCATGATTTTAGGTAATTTTGATAATTTATCATAATTTATATAATTTTATATATAATTTATTATATATTTTAAACAAATTAGATTCTTAGAAAATAAGATACTTCTTATATATTAAGTTACTGTTTTGAAAATACATTTTTCTATCAGCAATTTAAAATTAAGCTATAAATAGTTGTACTTATTCTATAATTGGAATAAATTTACACTAATAATATTATATTTTTAGAAAATAAGGTAATTCTTATGTATTATGTTGTTATATTGAAAATATATTTTTATATTATGTAATTTAAAAGTAAAATAGAAAAATTATCTATTATTAATCAAATATAAATCATCACTCAAGAAAAAATATTTAAGAAGTGAATTTGCTGAGTCATTAAGTTCTCCATGATTTTAGGTAATTTTAATTATACGTCATAATTTCTATAATCTTATATAATTATTATATAATTAAAAAAATTATCATATTATATTTTTAGAAAATAAATAACTTATGCAATATTGTTATCTTGAAAATATGTTTTTCTATTATAAAATTTAAAATTAAGATAGAAATATTATAATTAAATATAAATCAAGAAAATAGTTATAGAAATATATTATTTTAAATATTTCTGATGTTCGAGTTTTGTCTTTGATAGTTATTTTTTTTTTCTTATAACACTGATACTAGTTCAAGCCAACATGATGTCATAACATACAAAGAATGAGCAGGAAAAAGATAGGTGTCAATAGACACACAAAACGAAAAGAATATGAAATTTCACCAAAGCCTTCTACACTTGAGCCTCCAAAGCATGTAGATGATGAAGCCAAACCTGACCTCCTTGAGCGATATAAGATTGATGGCGCAAATCACGAGTGACACTCACCGCAATTGACGTTGTTGATTCATTGCGGACGGAACGAACGTTGGTGATAGTTATTTGATGTTTGATTTTTAGTTTTTGAAAACATAAATAATAATTTATTATGTTACTTTTAAATTAATGAAACATCAACTAATAAATATTTATAAGAAAGTGCGGGCAAAACACATAGTCTGACTATTAAACTCTGAAAGGTCTAAATACAACTTAAATTCTGATCCGCGCTTTGGAATCGCAAATTATTTTTCCTTTTCCAAATTTCATATTAATGTGTATATATTTGTCACTTCATATTTATATATATTTGTCATCTTTTATTACCGTTTGGAAGATCATTTGGAGTTCCACTTTCACTACAAGAAAATTTGTCCGTTACTAGGACGGGTTTTACTCGTTATTTCCTAGTAAATGGACATTTACTAGGAACTTACGAGGAAACGCGTTTCCTCGAAACACGTTCATCGTAAAGCCTTTTTCCTCGTAAAGTCCTAGCGAATTTACGAGGAAACTTTTTCTCGTAAGGTCGTGGTGGGCTTTTCCTCGTAAGGCCCTCGTATGCTTTCCTCGTAAGCTCGTAGTAAGATTTTCCTCGTAAGATCATAGTGATGAATTACGAGGAACTTACTAGAACCATTTACGAGGACATTACTTGGAATCATTTACGAGGATTTTGCTTCGAAATCTTTTTCCCTATTAAAAAAAATTAATTATAAATAATTATTTTATTTTTTAAAAATAAAAAAAATCAAATTATAAATAAAAAATAAAAAACAAAATATTTTATAAATAACTAAATAATATACAATGAAGTTTTAAAATTCATAATATACAATTAAAAATAAATAAAAACTACGGATGCTGGTCGTGAAATTGCCGAACGAACTCGTCCTGGCTCGCTAAATCCTGCTCCTCTCCTAAGTTGGTTGTCGGCTGTGACTGTGATGGTGGATGCTGTTGGGTTGGAATCCCTCCGCGTTCCCGTCTCTGACGCAACATCTCCAAATGCGGGTTTCCAACCGCCATAATCTCGAGAACATCGGTGAGAGAAGTCACATGCTCGGTGAGAGAACCACACGAGACTGCGTCGCCTGCAACTCCGAGCGCAACTGATCATTGACATCGTGCTGCTCCTGATGATAAGACGATGTCGCTGCAGGAACATCGTTAACCGAGCCAATCCCGATGATACGCCCCTTTTTCCTAGGGGCGACCTGTAAATAAAAATATTAATTAATATCATTAAGAAAAAAAATTAAAAAAATTAAAAAGTAATAGTAAAACAAATTATTTACCTCCTCGTAAATCTTATCCACGTCAACAGTGGATAATATGACTTGACTCCCGGTCTGCTGAGTTAGCTGGGCCTGACGTTCAACTCGGCCAACAAGCTCGTTGTAGATCCGCTCGGAAGCAAGATCTACAAACTGCCCACTCTTTCTCCTGTGGGTCCGCTCGTAAAGGGCTTTCAGAGATGGAAGAACTCCCGTCTCTTTAGCCTAATTTTTTTAAAAAAATTAATTATTAATTTAGAATATATATTAAAGTAAAAATTAAATAGTTATAAAAAACCATCTTACCATGTCTAG